TGTGTTTCAAGTACATTTCATTCATTAAAACACAAAAACATCTACTTTTGTAGCAAGTCAGATAAATCTAGAGGCAGTCTCATCTGTTCATTCATTTGACAAATTTCCACCAGTTTTATTTACCACTGAATATTATTTATATAACACAGAATAATTTTTCTGTTTTCAAACATACTTACGTTGTTCTTGCTGTTGGCAATAATGATAATATTATAGGGCATTGCAAATGAGCATAGTGGGTTTATTAGTCGCAGGGTGAAGGTGTTTGATTTAGGATTTAGTGAAAATGTAGCTCACATTATATCTTACAATGCTCTAGAGAATTTACTGTTTGTGGGACATTTACCTTTTGCACATATGAAAAGGATATGATTTCATATGGCGAGAGCTCAAATTTCCATTAGTATCGGCACAACATGCTTTTCTATGTCTTGCTAGTACAAGGACTTGGATGTGTTATGAACTGAGTACAAATAAGGAACTAAAAGAGATCTGGAAGTCAGACTGAATTCAACAAAAATGTATTATATACTTATTAAGTGCAAGACTGACTAGCAGCAAAAATAAATGACACAAAGACTTACAGAAAACTGTCTGTAGTGTGTGAGATGTATTCCATTCAATACAGCATAGAGGGAATTGTTAGGAGGCTCAGACTCCAGAAGAACCCTGGAGAGGCTATAGGCCATTTATCAACAAAATCAGTGAATTTGGAAGCAGGTCCTCCAGCTCCAGGTGGGATTTCAAATGACAATGGCCTGACTGACATCTTTTTTTTTTTTTTCCTTTTTTTCTGGAGAGGTTTTTCGCTATAGGGCGCGTGCACTCGCCAGACAGAGAGAGAGAGACAGAGAGACAGAAAGCGAGAAATCACCCCCCAGGGGGGATGGTCATGCCACAATCCCTTCTCCTCCATTCTCCTCTCGGGATCTTGGGCATGCACACACACGTGCCTGGCATGAGTTTAAGCTACCGGGTCCGGAACTCGAACTGCGGTCGACTACGTGGGAGTCCAGCGACATAGCCATTACGCTAACTGCTGGTCCCTCTGACTGACATCTTTATGATAGCCTCTGGAGAGACCCTGAGCCAGCATCATCCAGTCTATATGATCCTGATTCTTGATTCTCAGGAACCCTGAGATAATAATTTTTTGCTCTTTTAAGCTGCTAAATTTTGGCATGATTTGTTATGCAACAATGAATAACAAATACACCTAACAAATGAGGTTAAGTGCCAAATAGGAAAGAAACATAGTTCATGAATGCACATAAAAAAGAGAATCCAACTGAGATAAGGGAGTTTGAGATGAGGGGTTCCTTAAGGAAGTGACTACTGAACTATGATCTGATGGGTGAGCAAAAGCTAAAGAACAACAGGTGGCAGGCACAGAAAGAAGATTAGACAGAGTGAAAACATGTGCAAAGGTCCTGTGAGATGGTCAAACACTAAGGCAGTCCGGTGTGGCTGGTCATGCAGAGCCTGGGAGAACATGGTACAAGATAAGGGTATAGAAATGGGTAGAAATTTGTAGCCCACATTAAGAATTTTGGCCTTGGGACCAGCAGTTAGCATAATGGCTATGTCGCTGGACTCCCATGTAGTCCACTGTGGTTCGAGTCCCGGACCCAGTGGCTTAAACTCATGCCGGGGCAGGTGCATGCGTGCCCAAGATCCCAAGAGGAGAATGGAGGAGAAGGGATTGCGGTGTCGCCATCCCCCCCCCCGGGGGTGGGGGTGATTTCTCGCCTTCTATCTCTCTGTCTCTGCCTTTTTGGCGAGCACAAGTGCCCTATAGCAAAAACCTCTCCCCCAAAAAATAATGTTGGCCTTAACCCTAGAAGCAATGGGAAGTCATTGAGGAATGTTGAGCATGTTATAGGAGCAGCCTGTCTGCTGCTAGGATAACATGTATTGAGAGTTTTTTGTAAGTTAACTCACTTTAAATAGGTTAGAATGCCATAGTGTGGTATTTATACATTTCTATTTATAACTTATGTAGATAGAAGATAGACATGTATATAGGGTTACTATACACACTTTACTTATAAAGTCATTTTTTTAAAGAATTATTTTATTTAACTTTGTTTAATTTGACCAGAAAGGGACAGAACAAGAGCAAGAGCGAGAGGCAGAGAGATAGACAGAGAATGAGAAAGTAAGTCACTGGCAGGACTTGAACCACGGTCAGCCACATGGGAGTCCAGCACCCTTAACCACCCCACCACCTGCCAGCCCCTATAAAGTCATTTAATAAATATTTCTCAGGAGTATCAAATGATCTGGCAGAATAAAAGGCAGATTGAATCTTCTTCTGTTACGTTGAACATGTTTAGTGACACCAATACTCTTAACTTTTTGTGAAAATTTTATAGTCTATCTGGTTTTATTCCCTATGATAGGTCATGCATACAAAAGAGAGAGAGAGGCACCACTGACAGGCCCTTGCCATGCCACGATCTCCTTCCTCCAGCCCTCCAGCTCTTCAGGATCCTGGGCACCTGTGTGTGTGTCTGGTAGGCTCTTAGGCGGACTTGGAGTTCTGAACCCACCGCAGGCCACGTGGCCTTTACCTTTGCAGGTACTTGGACCACCGCTGCACCACACCTGCTTATACTGGTGATCGAAGTTGCCAAACTCAGAGCTGTAACAGTATTAAGCAACTGAAACTCTTAAAACAATATTTTTCATCTGTCTTTGTTAGTTATTTATTTTAGGTTTTTGCCATAGGACATGTGCATACACCAGAGAAACACAGTGAGAGGGAAGATGAGAAATCACTCCCCAGGAGGGATGGTCACACTGCAATCCCTTTTCCTCCGTTCTCCTCTTGGGATTTTGGGCAAGCACGTGTGATTATCAAGCCTCTGGATCTGG